TGGTTTTGATCTCTTTTTAGGGGGTTTAGGAGGCATGATTATGAGAAGATAACAGAAATTATCAACTTCCTGTAAACAAAAATAAATTTAGAGCAAATTAACAAAATGCCCTAAAACTAAAACCCTAGATGGCTTTTATAGATGAGGAACTCGACTCTGGTTTTGATCTCTTTTTAGGGGGTTTGGGAGGCATGATGAGTTAGGGTTAAACAGATAGAAGAAATTTTCTCAACTTCCTGTAAACAAAAATAAATTTAGAGCAAATTAACAAAATGCCCTAAAACTGAAACCCTAGATGAGAAAGTAGACATTAGAACTCAGAAATCAAAAGGTAAAGGAAGAAATTACCCACAAAACTGATGAGAAAGGACTGAAAGTAGCAGCGGTTGAATCCAAGCGGCCGACCGAAAAAAATTTGTAACTCTAGGTCTGCGATTTCAAAATGAGGAGGAAGAAGAGGGGTCGGGTGTTTTAGGAGAGAAGACAACGGCTGGGATTGAGAGGATGATAGATCAAGGGTGATGTAGAGTTCGGGTTTAAAACAGAATCCAATAACAAAACTAAAAACCCGATAAAGAAAACGAAGTCGTTACAGTATTTCGTTTCGGTCGACCGAATCGATTTCAGAAAGATCGTCGGTCGACCGGGTCGGTCGACCGAGGGAAAATAAAAGACACAGGTAAAGATAAAAATTGTTTTTGAGAAATTTTATAAAATAGACTTTTTGGAAATATGTTTTATAAAATACTTAAAGTTTTGTAAGGTATATATAAGTATTTTTAATTGTGAAATCATGCAAATAATTTTATTTTTAACATTAGGAATATAATTTTTCATTCAAAGCCAAAAAGAAATTATTCAAAAAAAAACAAAACAAATAAAAAAAATACTATAAATCATTTAGGTACCACTAGAACTTGGGACATGACCCCTATCATTTAAATCCAAGGCCCTAGGGTTATGAACCCGTTTGGGCGTGTTTTGTGCACCGATACGATCAAAACAAAAATTGTAAACGTGACCCATACGATTGCAATTTGTGCAATGTAGAGGTTTGAATGGTTTACGTTGATCGAAATAGAATGCATGTGATTCATTTGCAAAAATAGATTTTTCTTTGTAATTATTTTGCAAACGAAATTTTCTTTTTAAATCGAAAAAAAACATGGCCAAATGACCAAAACGACCACAATAATCACATTTGTACACATAAGCATGTTTATGATTTACACTATGTGTGTGTACATGGGTATGTGATGATGAAGCTTGATGGGATGCACAATCATGAATAGGCTTATCAATTTTTGGTGCATTATGACAAAATTGAGCTAAATGGCCTTTATGACCGCAAATAGAACATTTGTGAATTTTGTCATACATATGTGCATAGTGAATAGGTTTCTTGGAAGAATCAACATTAACCTTTGCACATAAGTCCATAAGCTTTTTATTATTAGCAATACAAGTATTTAGTGTTGAATCTAAGGTAGATATTCTTTTTCTCATTTGATTCAACTCATCATTGTGCATACAAGTATTGCTACTAGAAGTAGGATAAACAAGATTACTCATCATAGATTTTAACTTATCTACTTCTAACATAGCATAACGTTTTTCATGAAGCAAACTAGCGTTTTCAGTTTTCAAATTTTTATTGCATTCTTTAAGAATTATATTTTTATTTGCAATAAAATTGAACTTAGTAGCTAGTGTTTCATGAATGGATTTCAAATTAACATACTTGCTCTTTACATCCATATAGCAATTGTGTAATTTTTCAAACTCAAGAGCAAGTTCATCAAAAGTAATATTATCATTGTTATCGCATACCTCACTAGGGTTATCACCTAGTGGTAATGTACATGGGGATGAGGCTTCCTTAGGACTCAAAGCAAGATTTTCTAATGCTTGTTGAATCGCCTCCAATTTCCCTTCATGTGCTTCAATAAATTTCCATAAAGCGTGAGCACTATCAAAATTAGCAAATTTGTTAGAAAACGATGAGTGAAAAGCGTTAATCAAATATTCTAACAAAAGCTTATTCATGTTAAACAATCTTTTATCATTCTCACACCATTTGGATTTTTCCAAGGTGGGAACAACATAGGCATCCTCAATAATTTCCCATAAATCAAATTGATTAGATTGAACGAAAAGTTTGAATCTAATACGCCATTGAGCATAGGGAAAAATATCCAAACGAGGAGCAATATTAATAGCATATCCTAAGCAAGATGAATCATTCATATCCATAGAGATATGTAATTAAAATTAGATTAGCACAAATACAATAACTTGGATCTTTAACTCAAGGCGGTTAGTCCTTAAATCAAAGAGCACCAAGCTCTGATACCAATTGTTAGACCCTAGAGGGGGGGTGATTAGGGTCTTATGCTAACCTAATCTCAATTAATAACAATTAAAATTATGTTGATCAATTTGTTCTTGCAAGAATGAATACGATATGAATATGAGCAATAAAGATGAAATTATGTACGCCAACCAAAACACAAACACACGATATGTTTACGAGGTTCGGTCCCCACGACCTACGTCCCCGCTCCTCACCTCGAGGAGATATCCACTATCATAATCCGGTTTGGAAGCCGGAACTTCTACACACTCGGTTTATAAGTTCACCGAAAACTCTCACACTACACAATCACTCAACAATCACACTTTACACACTAAGTGTAGGAACCTAGCCCGTGTCCTCCTCCTCAAGTGCTCGATTACAACCTCTCCCTAGGTTCGTCAATCGACGCCACTCCTATTGGATTTGACCCCGTCTCTCTCTCCTCACACTTCTCTCGGTGTACAAGTGTGTTACAAGTGAATCTCACAAATAAAGGTTCAATACAATGATTTGTTCTCAATTAACAAGTGAGAACACAATAAAGCTCACACTCACTAAATCCCACACTACAACCCACAATATATAATATGAGAAAATCAAGCTCAATAAGTGTGTGTGATAATAGTGAATGAAACTCAATAAATATAACTCAATGAATATAGCTTAAACAAATGAAAGTGAAATAATAAGCTATATAGGAAAGAGTTTAGAAAACTTCTCAATGAACAAGAAGAGCTGAAGAATTGATGATTCCAATAGGGTTTGAAAGCCTCTTCTTGTTGTAAAAAAACTTCTCTTGAAAACAAATTGATGAAACAACTCTTAAACAGCTCTTAAACGCGATTAATAACGTGTTAAACAACAAACTTGGATTTCTTAGATATTAGAGAAGAAGAGCAGCAATGGAGTATATATAGCACTCCAATACAATAGCTAAAAATAAGTAAAAGACCAAAAAGTTCATTTGAAAAACTAGCCGTTAGGCTCATTCTGACAATTCGTCGGTCGACCGGTACGGTCGACCGATTAGTTCAAAATCACAGAGAAACGAGGTTTTAAAGCTGGCGGTCGACCGACGGAGAAAGCGGTCGACCGAATTGGAAATTTTGGTCGACCGACGAAAATTCCGGTCGACCGGAGGGCTCTCTGGAAATTTACTCAAGAAAGGAACAATTGTCGGTCGACCGTGCCGGTCGACCGAATTCTGATATACACAAGATTGACAGGTTTTGGGCAGTTTTGAAAATTCGTTAAAAATATCAAATCACATCCAAAAATAGTGAAACTTTGGGCAAAGTTTCTAAATGATGAAATTAACATGTTTGAAAAAGAATTTCTGGAAAATTAATTTTTGTTTGTGAAAACTACCTGTTTTTGAAGAATGCTTAGAAAACCTGTAATTTTATGAAAGTGAACTTTGATATAGGACTTGTAAATATTCAAATATATATTGTGCATATAATATATGTATATAGTGAAGTATGAAGGAGCTGTAAACATGAGATAAAGTATTTTAACAACGTTTAATGAAAAATCATCTATATGATAAAAAATGTCAAAAATCGTGTTAAGTGTATATATATTGAGCTTAGATAGAATCATACTATATATGTAAGTAAACTAAACATATACCTAGGTAAATCCACGCAAATAAACTTGAATCTTTAACGCTTGATCAACGCGTGTTGAAATACCTGAAAAAAAGAACATAAACACAACTCTAGAAAACTTATTAGTAATAAATTGTTTGTCAAATCATCATCAAAACTATAGGGTCAACAGTTGTAATCTTTTAAGATTTTTTGATTTTGTTGTAACCGGATCTTATAAAAATACCGGATCTTTTGTAACCGATAAAGTATTGCACAAGAAAGCAATGACTTCAATGAAAACGGTTTTCCCCGCGAACATTGACACCCAAATATTCTATAGTATCCTTGCAATATTAATAGAGTATATTTTAGGGAGATGATGTGAAGTCTAGTATGAGGAAGGGACAATGGAAAAATAAACTAAAAAGTTAGAGAAAAAGAATCTCTCAAATTAAAAGGACATAAGAGAAAAAGAAAATGAATTGCAATAGGGGTTAAATTGCCATCACTCTGCCTCCAATCAAACACTAAAAAAGGATGACCATCCTCTACCTCATTGCACTTCCCGTGGCCTCCCCTTCTTGAACCCTCTATCAAACCGAGCCTAAGCTAGACGTTTTAGAAAATCTTATTTAAGAACTTTAGGATTCCTCAACTTTTGAAAAACTTATTTAAAAGCTCATCTAAATACCTTAACTTGCTCGACCAAATCCTATCTTATCTTTAAAATTCTTATCAAATTTTTATCATAAAAATCAAAATCCAACAATCATTAGCATTGGGGGTTTTAAGAGTAAACTCTCTTAAAGATTAGTTCTCAAGTGGGTTTTTCTCCTCAGATTCTGAGGACAGACTAATCTGCAACTTCCTCCTTAGGTGCTAGACTATAGTTTGGGCCTCAAACTCTCCTCCCATCAGCATTAGCTTTAGCATTACTCTCAAAATGGCCAAGTTCCTTGATGCTCTCAAAATGGCCAAGTGTATTGGAGAAATGAGATTCCAAAGATACACAAGCAAATAATGAAATTTAAGAATCCATGAATCATGGTAGCTTAATCAAAGTATGACATATATTGATTGAACTGGAGTTACAACTCCCTTATTTTCATTATTATTTAAATTCTTGAAGCACTTCAATTCTTCAACAAGATTATTTATCACCTACATTTTAAATGCTTACAACATAATTTTTTTGATGAAATTCTAGTGCTTTCAATATGTTGCTACTGAAGTCCAACAATAATTCTCTTCCCCAAGAAGATTACATGCTAACATGCTCTTTCATATTAAGCCTCTCCTGTTGAATTTTAACTGCCATGTACCTGAAAAAATTGCCAACATTCGGTTTACCTCTACAATGAAATGAAATACTGATGAAAATTAAGTCCAAAAATTGCAATTCAAGAAAGATACCTTCCAAGCATTAGAAGAGTAGCTTGTGGATTTGTTCCAGGAGATGAATTGAACGTGGAGCCATCAAGAACCCTAAGCGCATCAACACCAAGAACCTTGTAATCGCGATCCACAACCTGCCCAACCTGGCAACCTCCATGATAATGCCATATCGTCATCACAGTATCCTTACAAAATTGTTCAATTGATATTTTATTGTTTGCAAGTGTATTTGATTTCTTGATACCCAAATACTGCAAAGTCTCATTGAGCAATGAATCAAATGTCGCATCTGGATACCGAAACTTGGAGAACGATTCAGATTGTATCACACGACCAATAGTCTTTAGACCTTCAACACAAGTCTGAAGGTCCTGTGGTTCTTGAAAGTAGTTAAAGGTAACCTCTGGATTGTGATCTGGATCTGTATTTACAAGCTTAAGATATCCTGTTGAAATAGGGTATGCGACCTTTTCAACTATGAAACCTGATCTTGACAAAGAGCTTGGTGGACAAATGAGGTATTTGTAGCCACTGATGGACTCGATGTAACTACCAAAGATAGTGATTCCAACAGGCTGAACAAGAGAGAGCTCAACAGGCGAAGGAGAGGGAACGTAAATAGCGTTCATCGGATTATCAGCCATGTTTTTGCCTACTAAGGGTTGATCCATGACCATCTCAATGCCTAGAGATTGAAGATGATCGGAGGGGCCGATACCGCTAAGCATTAGTAGTTGAGGGCTGCCGAGTGCTCCAGCTAGATTGAAGATGATCGGAGGGGCCGATACCGCTAAGCATTAGTAGTTGAGGGCTGCCGAGTGCTCCAGCTGATATAATGATCTCGTTGTTTGGGTTGTTCTTTAGATATGCTTCGTGAGTTTCTCCTGTTGAGTCCTTGAATAGAACACCATAGGCTATTGGTCTTTGTCGGCCTGTGTGAACAATTAAGAGTTATTGGATGATTTACTACTAGTGAATCAAAGATACATAATCGTTTCTCTAATTTTTCAACTTAATGATTGAGAAATTTATTCAAGGTTATGACTATTGATGGAATCAGATCAATTAATAAGGTGTTTGTATTGCATTTACGTAACATTCTCAAATTCAAATTTGAATCTGAATCCCTATTTATATTTTCAAATCTAAATTCAAACGTTTCAGACATTCATCGAGTAGTAAAACATATTAATCCTACACCCTAACAGGCCCCGCAAATTAAGAGATCTTTTATGGATAGAAACCTAAAACTCCTGCAAATGCATAGACACTATGTCAAAGGATCCCGCTATTACACCAGGTGAGGTTGAGAGGTACTACGTTATACTATAACAATAATCTTTATTAAACCCTCAAAGCTTAAGAATAAGCATAATGTGCTTACTAATATGAAATATGGTTAATTAAATAAACAAATAGACACTAATAAATAAATGAATCAAGTATCACTAATAGACACTAATAAACAAATGAATTAAGTATCACAATTCTCATATTTGATCAATATGATCACAGTAAGGAATTATTCGACTACTTCCTTTGGAGTCAAATTTTAAAAAAAATAGTCAGAGGAACAATTATCGAACAAATTGATAATTACTAGAGAAATAAATTACTAACCTCGTTTGAACAAGATCTTATAAACCGTAGCCCATAAGAAAACCGTAGTCTGTTTTGGCTCCGCCTGTGCTAGTAAATCTGCAGCGGTACGCCTGTGCCCATCTCGGTCAAAAATCGTCCCTCCAATCTTCGTCCCTATCAGATGCTCATATGTAAACCCATTATCTGGCACCACCCCCGCCTCCACTAGCCCATCCCTCACAGCCGACTGCCACTGCTTCAACTCTGGCTCCTGAACCAGCAACTCCTCAATCCATTCGTATGACTCCTTCACCAATCTCATGTCCCACCCGGCTTTTCTAACGTAATCGCTACTGGCTCGACTGTAGAATCCGGCATTGAGGCACGTGCCTCCACCGAGCACATGAGGACGGATGTTATTGATGCCGTCTTGGGAAACGAATTGCTGGGCTGCGGAGGTTGGGGAGGTGTCACATAGGGAGTCTGTGAAGCCCGAGAGATGTGTTATGTTGTTGTTGTCATAAGGAGAGCCTCCTCTTTCTAAGAGTAGGACTTTGGAGGTTTGAGAGAGAGTAGCGGCCAACGGACAGCCGACGGTGCCGCCTCCGACGATGATGTAGTCATAGTATGATGCTGGCGGTGCTTCTGTTGCATTTTGCATAAATTTGTAGGGTGGCAAGGATGCTGTATGAATATGTGAATACAAGAATTTTAGTTAATAACGAGCAAAATTCACCTGCGCGACGCTACAACATTAGTTTGAACATTTGCTTTAAAAATACATCGTGCAGCTAACCACTTATAAAAGTATAAAAATTTACACAAAAATATAGTAATACATATTAAACTGCTCAAATACGAATTGAGTTTAAAATTAATTTAATTAGATATTTTAGGTCTAAGCATGTGCAGGTTTATATACAATCTAAGGTGCAGTGCCATCCTAAAAATTTACAAATTACATAGTAAGATTTGTGATGTTTAAATCTACCCCACAATAAACTTTAGAAATTGCACCCATGGCCCAAGCTATCTAAAAACACTGAGCAAATTAGTAACAATTTGAGCTCATTGCAAAAATAATAACTCATTTGAATTTCCAAAATCAACTTAAATATGGGCCCAAATACTAAAAACCAAAAACTATAATACTAAAGACCCAAAAGTCCAAAACACAAACAATACTAAAATCCAAACCTATTACCAAAAACTAATACTATAGCTATTAATATTATATCTTCAGTTTTAGATAAATAGACCCTTGTCATCCAATCCCGAAAAAGAACTTTTGAATGCGTCACTGGCTCTAAGATTGTTTTTGGCAGTGGGTGGTGAGTTTAAACCTAAATGTGGATAAAAGATTAATTTATAGATAAATAACTCTTTTGAAAGTGTGTGAGTTTAAAAATAAATGGGATAGAACTTTGAGTTTATAAGCCACAAAAATCTATCTACAATTGCGATGATAATCAATATTGGTATGTAAAAAGCAAGAAATTAATAGTTAAAGTATTTTACTCAAAATATACCACATATGCAATCATTGAGAGAATATACATATATAGTTATAACAATATAGTACATCAAACAATTTAATTATAAGGTTCATACTTAATTTTATGAAGAATTTAATGTAAGTTGAAGTTGGGTAGGTTTTAAAATAAACGGTGGTAAAACTTTCAATTCATGAAAATTGCATTTCTGAAAGTGGGTTTGTTTAAAAACATATAAGAATAATATAGTAACTATACCATATATCAAACTATTGAATATATTATAGGTTCATACTTAATTTTATGAAGAATTTTAATGTAAGTCAAAAGTGTGTAGATTTTAAAGTAAACAGGGATAAAACTTGCATAATGGAGAAATTACCTTTCTCGAAGTGGGTTTGTTTAAAAACATATAGGAATAAATTTATATTTTTTTGGTGAGCTTAAAATAAATTGTATTTATAGATTTAACAAATCCCTATAATTGAAGAGAGTGGGTTAAAAAAATAAGTTGGTCATAGGCAAGAAAACCGTTTAGTTGTATAAAAATAAGTTGGGGTAAAACTTTGGAGTTTGTTTAAAAATTTTATGAAGCATTTTAATGTAAGTTTTAAGTGGGTGGAATTAAAAATAAATGGAGGAAAAACTTTCTTCATGGAGAAATTACCCTTTTCTGAAAGTGGGTTAGGGATCAAACTTTATTTTTGGGTGAGCTTAAAATAAATTGGGATAAACTTTGGTGTTTATGGATAAAAAAACCCAGAATTGAAATGAGTGGGTTAAAAAATGAATAGAGTAAAACCTTGGCTTTATAGGCAAGAAAAATCATTTGGGTGCATAAAAATAAGTTGAGTAAAACTTTGGAGTTACGTAACAAAAATTAAAAAAACATACAAAACTTGCCGACACCAATTGCGATGATAAGCAATATTAATACGAAAAAAATTAAGAAATTAATGGTTTAAGTGTTCTGTTTAAAATACACTACGTATACAATCATTTAGAAGAAAAAATATATCATGTTATAACAATATAGCAATTAATACTATATATCAAACTACTGAATACAAAGTAGGGTCATACTTAACTTTATGGAGCATTTCAATGTAAGTTGAACGTTCTGCGGGTTTATAAATAAACCGGGGGGGGGGGGCGGGGGGGGGGGGGGGGGGGGGGGGGGGGGGGGGGGGGGAATAAACGTTCAGTTCATGGAGAAATTACCCATTCTAGAAATGGGTTTATTTTAAAACAAAAAGGGATGAAACTTTATTTTTGGGTGAGCTTAGCTAGGATAAATTGGGGTAAAATCTTGAGTTATTAATTAAAAACAACCCTAGAATTGAAGTCAGTGGGTTAAAAAATGAATAGAGTAAAACTTTGGTTTATAAGAAAGAAAAAATATTTAGGCGTATAAATAAGTTGGAGTACAACTTCGAGGTTTGTTTAAAATTTTTATGAAGCATTTTAATGTAAGTAGGAAGAGGGTGGGTTTAAAAATAAACTTGGGCAAAACTTTCACTTCATGGAGAAATTACCTTTTCTGGAGGTTTTTTAAAAATAAATACGGATAAAAACTTTATTTTTGGGTGAGCTTAAAATAAATTGGGGCAAAATTTTGTGTTTATAGATTATAAAAAAAATCCCAGAATTGAAAGAGTGGATTGCAAATGAATGGAGTAAATTCATTTGGGTGTATAAAAATAAGTTGGGTTAAAACTTTAGATTTTTGTAAAATAATAAAAAATTCACAAAGCTTGCCCACCCCAAGATTCGAATAACCATAACCAACTCGTTAAATGTGATTTAAGACCCATTCATACAACATGTAGATTGATCATGATTTTTTTAGGGGCTGTTTGGTTCGTTTCCTTGATATAGGGAAATGCAATTCCATGTAAAAAAATATAAGTTTTGAGTTTTACAAACTTTTTCAAGAAATAGATTGTTTTGCTTTGGTTCGCACATAAAAAATGGTGAGAAACCAATGTATTTATTTTTCTTGTGTTTGCTTCGCATAGAAAAATAAGGAAAACTTTTGTAAACAAAGCAGAGAAGGAAAAAAAGCTGACGTGGTAGAGTTTTAATCAATTTCACTCGGTTGAGGAAGGAAATCAGAGAGAGAAAAAAATCTGAGGTGGCGGCGATTTCAGCAGAGTTTTCCCTCTTCCATCCGAGCGAACCAAAGCCGCACAAAGAAATGGACGGAAACAAAAAAAACTGATGTGGAGGGCAAAAAATCTGACGTGGAGGAGTTTTCTAAGTTTTCCACCCCTTATAATAGCGAACCAAACAGCCCCTAAATAATAAAAGGTAACTGGGATGAACTGTAGTTGAGAACTGTAGTTGAGAATTGTTAAAATAATGGTTTTTTAGACGTTAGTCCTTAAAGTCTCAATAATTCCATGTTAATGCCTCAAATCTTGAAAAATGCATTTTAGTTGTTAGAAATCTATTTGTTTTGCAAAATGGTTTCTCTAACAAACTAATTATACCTCAAATCTAACCGTTGGAGGCAATTTGATGATTTTAACACTTTGTTAAGTTTTCCAACCTATTTCCTAACAGGTTTAAAATCATGGACCTACTTTAAAAAACTCAAACCCATTTATAGTTCTTCTCTAATGGTCAGAAAATAATTCTAACCCAAAGTTAATCTTCACAATGGTTATATTTTTCTAAAATCTATATAATCCTCTTAAGTTTATCTTCAAACCTATCCATCATCTTCCTCTGTAACCTTTGAAATATCAATAAGAGATATTTTATCTCTTTCATTGTAATTCAATGTTTCAAGAACACGTGGGCCTTTAAACTTTTTTAGGGAAACTTATGAAGTGGGAGTTTGGTAATTGTCTGGGTTAATCCAATCATTATTGTATTTTCAAACTAAAACACTAACATAGGGACCTTTTTGCAAGACCGTATAGGATTTTAAGGACTAACATGCAATTTCAAAGCTAATATGGAATTATTGAATAGTTAAGAAACTAATATCTAAAACTAGAGTAAAACTTTTGCTTGATATAATTGAGGGCCAAGAGAGAGTCTGGTAATGGGTGGATTTAAAAATAAACAGAGTAAAACTTCGAGTTTATATGCAAAAGCTAACTTTTTATACGAATTGAATGGGCGGGTTTAAAAATATAAGGTAATAAAGTTGGGTTTATATGCAAAAAAAATCTACTTCCGAGTTCTTGAAAAAAAGGAAAATGTACTTTCGTGAATGGCATGGACAGTTCTTGAGAACCCATGTCCTTTACTTTCATAGGTCAATCCTCTAACCGAGCGTGCTAATAACCTCTTTACAATATTTTGCAAACTTATGATAATTATATGCATGAAAACTGCAGCTAAGAACTATTCATTTCCCATTAACTTTAATATAAAACATAAAGTTTCTTATAATATAATGTAATGATTAACCAAATAGAAGAAATTACTATCTGATTCAAAACCATGAAATGAGTTATGATATAGCTGAAATGTCCCTTTGTCAGCCATTTTTCTTAAATAAATTACAAGAGAAATGATTCCTTACTCCTTTTATGGTAGGTGGTCTAATAAATTTGGCGTAGAAAATATTTTTAGATCCACATAATAATTTTGCTTTTTGTTTTTTCTGTAAAATATACTATTGATGTGTTTGGTTAGTTTAAATGTATGCTTATTAGATTCGAATTCTCTCTTGACTGCCAAAAGTGGTATAGGTTAACAATTTTAATTATAATTGTTTATTTTTTAGTTGACAGTTATGACCCGTCTTTGAGTAAAAATTGGAAACATAGCGCCATAAAAAAGTTAAGGGCAGACCATAAACCAATAGGTGGTCACAATTAAAAAATAGTGTTATAATATTGGATAGGATCCAAAATTCTATTTTATCTATTAACAAAGGAAATTTTCTTTCAAAGTCTCTACATTTAATTAATTTTGATTCTCTCCACTACGAAAAAGAAAGGGGAAAAAGAAAGGGGGCGACCACTACTTTTTAACATAGTTGTCTATTTCTAGTTGATGGCTTGTGAATAGTCTTACTCTCCACTATGAAATATAAAGGGGGTGACCACTACTTTTTAACACAGTTGTCTATTTCTAGTTGATGGCTTGTGAATAGTCTTACGTGAAAAATAAGAATGGATGCAATACATAGGGATGTGATAAAGCTGTAATATTTAGTATAATTTATAATCATTCACTAAATAATAGATATTTGTGAATGAAAGTAATTACAACCGTTGTCAACAATTTTATACATACATAATACATCACATTTAGGACAAAATTTTGAAATCAACCATTTTGAGAATTTAATAAGTAAAATCAACCGTTTTTTGCCTGTGAGGACTAAAAACGGTCGACTTTGCTCATTTTAAAGGAAGAATGTCATTTTTGCTGATTAAATTCTCAAAATGGTTGGTTTCGAAAATTTCTCCTCACATTTATTATCCCCACTAAGTATCAAGGTCTTATTAGACAATTATAGTTGAGAAAGTAATCACTTCATTGTCATGGTCGTACTGAAAGGATTCAAATTCATTGACCTCACCGATATATCTATTAGTTTTCTTTTAAAAATTAAACGCTCACGGTTGCATTACGAACCTAGTGGTTCTTCTCAAGAAAAGAAATGGAAAAATTGCACAAAACTCCAACTAACCTCTAATAATTTCTACAATCCCACTAAACCTCCAATAAATATTGGAATTGCTAAAAACAACTCCGAATAAGTTTCTCCATTTTGCAGATAACCCCCATAACGGCCCACATTCTGCATTGGTGACACATTTAGATTCTAAATGTAAACTGACGCAGTCATGGAAGTTATCCGTAAAATGCAGAAACTTAGTGGGAGTTTTTTTGCAATTCAACAGTCATTGGTAGAAACGAAATGCTAAAATATCTTGAGGGTCTAGTGTAATTTACCCAAAAACAAAAGAAGAATATAAACCAAATAAACCTCCGGGATAAAATTATTTAGCTAGATATCGTCTAACCAAAAGAAAATTCAAGGGCTACCTTTCTCTAAGCAACATAAGCCGTAGAAGCACGTAAACCATGTAAGAGTTGCCAAAAGTAATCCCCAAAGCCTTGACCTCGCACTCATTTTCAGCGGAGATTCGATAAAATACTTGTGCAAGTGCATTATAGAGGAATGAGCAGCTCCATCACTTTCTTCGTGAGGAGAGAATTGATATAATTAATAATTTAATATGGTATGCTTGTGTCCGAGGGTCGTATATTCGTTCCTTATCTTTTGAGACACGTGTAACGAGTCCAACGTACGTAGCACTGTTGAGAGAGATAAGGGCTTTTTATTTCTAGCCTTAAATGTTTACTGATCTTTACCTTTAAATCCAATCACTATTTGTTGTATCCATAAACCCAAATATCTTTTTGTATTTATCTTTAAGCCCAACTTAAAGATTTTGGGGGGCCCACAGATACAAGTATTGTATTTTGTAAGTTAGGCTTAAAGATAAATACAAAAAGATATTTGGGTTTATGGATACAACAAATAGTGATTGGGTTTATAAATAAAGATAAGTAAACATTTGTGGCTAGAAATAAAAAGCCCTAATTGAAAAGTTTAGTTTAAAGCCTGATGTTGATTGTGTCTGTTTGGTTACAGTAAAGAGATGATGCAGCATCTTGATCAGAAGTAGTTTGAGACTATTTATTCCCACTATAATTAAAGTTATCCTGCCCCTGATCCTCTATTATTCCGTTCAAGTTGTCGCTCCACCTTTTCGGTTCGACTAACTGTGTCTGCCAAGGTATATGTCTGCTGCAAAGATAAATGATCCTGAATTGTTATACTCAATCCCCCAGTATATCGAAACATCTGTTGGGCCTCATTCTCATTTAAATTGTTGCGGGATGACAGCCGATAAAACTCCTACGTGTACTTATCAACTGTTCTTTCACCTTATTTACAATTATGGTTTTGTCCGATTAAGACTTGTTCATAATCATCCGGCAATAAACGGGCTTTCAGTAGTTTCTTCATCTTGTCCCACCTATCGACTTTCGGTTTTCCTTGACGAGATCGATTCATACAAAATGATTCTCACCAAGTTGATGCTCCACCTTTAAGTCAGTAGGCAACCAATTTTACCTTACGCTCATCTGGGATCTCCATATACTCAAAGAATCTTACCACTTCTGCAACCCAATCAAGAAATTATTCGATATGAAGTTGCTCGTTAAAAGATGATAGATCCATCTTCATCTTGAACCCTTCAGCATCACAACTATCCCTTTGTCGATGGCCTCCAAGATAATCACCACGGCGTGAGGCTTCATAGTTATCGTCGTCACTGTTGAATACGTCATATGGAGTCGGATCACGTCGCTGGCGACCATCAACACGATTTCGAACTCCTACCGTGTTCAGACGCTCCATTGCCAACACTATTGAAAACACCCTAATGCCACTAGGAAAGAATCCTAGAGGGGGGTGAATAGGGTTTATACTAATCTAATCCAATTTATGTCAAATTAAAACTAATTAACAAATATATCCTAGCAAATAAGATATGAACAATGTTAGCCCTTATGTTTTGATGATGTTTTATAACCACCATTATCGGTACTAATTGCTTGTTGAGTGATATTGTAGTTAATATATAAATCAAGTTTGTTAGTACCATGCATGGAGGATTGGATGGAATATGAGCTACAACGATGATATCCAAAGGAGGAGGATGTATAGTGATGAAGCATTGTTTATTCAAGAATAATAAATGCAATGAAAAGCTTCATCAACTCAAGCTATATCAAGACTCAACGAATTATAATTCTATGTGAGGATATTAGCTAGTTTTTATTTTTTTCTCTAATGCTATAATGTAGGCAAGTAGCTTAGATTTCATTTGAAGCTATTGGGTATCACACACACGTTTTCATACTTATATTTTTGAGCGTTTTGACAAAATATCACTTTTCACAAGTATGAGGACCTTTTCGCATAATTCCTTTTCCAAACAGTTTGTTTTTAATGTCAAAAACAATTTACAAAGTTACACAATTTTTGGAAGTCTTTTAAATATTTTTACATATTTTTAAAGAGTCAAAAACAAGTTTTATAAACAGTGTTAGCTTATGTCAGTTCTCGATCGACTGCCACGGTCGACCGCGCTTGTGTCTTTTTCCTAGTGGGCAGCAGAAACTTTCGCAGTCGACCACCACGGTCGACCATCAGCTCAAAATTTCCCATGGTCGAACGTCACGGTCGACCGCAAAAGTCTCTGGAAAATTATAAGCTTCGAAAGTGGCTCCCCCTTTTTACGGTACAGATTTGCAAATGATTTCTTACGGGTTTTAAGGGATCTGGGTATGGGTTTTAGCAGTTGATGTTTTTCTTATTTAAACTCTCATACCCCTCCTCTTGCAAGTGCTCTTGTCCATTTTGAAATATCCTGCAAACCTGTCTACTGTTTTCAAAAGAGCCCTAAACTTTTAAACATGTTCTCTGTTTTCAAGTTTACATCCCAGCTTCAGTGTAATCTTTCTCCTTGCTATAGGAACATTGTAAAGAGAGAGTTTTACATCATTACTACTGTTGTGAGCTTGATCTTGTGGAGATCAACAGCGTTGGGAGTTAAATCTTATGGTGATCAACTGTGTAGTTGTGAGATCTTGTGGAGATTGTTGTGTAGAAGAAGTTCCGGCTTCCAAACCGGATTATGTAGTGGATTCTCCTCGAGAGTGGGGAGCGGGGACGTAGGTCAGCGGGCCGAACCTCATAAACACATCGCACGTCACTTGGATAACAATTTCTAACTCTATCTCGTTTCCTATAGTTGTTCATTTTGTGGTTTGTTGCTTGTCTTATTTTTTATTACACTATTATAGCCTTAAGACCCTAATCACCCCACCTCTAGGGTCCAACAATTGGTATCAAAGCTTGGTCTCTATATTAGTTTTTGGTCTAACCACCTTAGAGAAAAGATCTTATGGAGGCTTTAATGAATATGCATATGTTAGAGGGACAATCCACCACTAGACCACCACTTTTCACCGGTAGTAATTTTGCTTATTGGAAGGCTAGGATGAGGATTTACCTTCGTTGCATTGATCTTGACATTCTAGAACTCATAGAGAAGAAATATGTAGAAAAGCCCAAAGTTGGGAACATGACCGATGGAGAAAGACACCAAGCCAATCTTAATACAAAGACCATGAACGCCTTAATTTGCGGTCTTTCCCCCAATGAGTATAATAGAGTTTCTAAGTGTGCAATCGCATACAAAATATGGGCGAAAGTGTGTATTACACATGAAGGAACCCCCCCAAGTTAAGGAATCCAAGATTAGTGGGTTCATGCATGAATATGAGTTATTTAAGATGCTTCCTAATGAATCCATTGATGCTATGTTTTCTCGCTTTACTAATATAATCAATGAATTACATGGTCTTGACAAGAAATTAACTATCCAAGAGACGAACTATAAGATACTTCGTTCATTGACTCAGGTATGGGAACCCAAAGCTACGGCAATAGAAGAAGCTCATGATCTTACCACTCTAGCTCTCGATGGCCTCATCAGCAAGCTTAAGGTTCATGAGAAGAAGCTCAAGGGAAAGGACAAAGAGGAAGTGCCCTCACGGGAAGTTGGGGAGCCATCACCAAAAATGAAGACCATAGCTCTCAAAGGAGCTAGTGATAACTCCTCATCATCATCGGAGAGTGAAGTTGATTTTTCTAGAGAAGTGGATTACCTCTCTAGAAGAATATCTAGACTCATTAAAATGAACAAGAAGTTTAATCCCCGATCTAACAACAAATTTTCTTCACATGTAGGGAAGTGCTTTGAATGCAATGAACTGGGTCATATCTCTAAAGATTGCCCCAAGCTCAAGAAGAAATACTTGAAGTACAAGAAGAAGAAAGCCATGTATGCCGGATGGGAGGAATCCGAACCAAGTGATTCGGATAGCAATGAAGAAGGAGCTAAGTTTGCTCTTCATGATTCCAACATTTGCTTCATGGCTTATGAAAAGGAGGTAGTTTCCGACACCGAAAGTGAATCCTTTTATATGCAATGTGATCTAGCTATGGCATTAGAAGAATTAAATATTGAGTTTAAAAGGATGTCAAAAGAATTTTCTTCCTTTAAAAAATTGCATGCTTCTTGTGATGCCAAACTAGAACAACTACAAACCTCTCTTGTATTAAAAGATGAATTGCTAGGGGATCTTGATTTTAAAAACAAACAATTAAGATCCAAGATTGAAAGACTTGAAATTAAGAGTGGTAGAATTAGACCTACTCATGATTATGCTAATCATCATCACCACGGTAGAAATAGATTTCATAGATCTTATGCTCCTACACGTAAGAGAAATTTTGTGTGCACATATTGCATAAAACATGATCATATTTCTACTCATTGTAGGATTAAAGATAATCATAATTTTTATGGAATGACGTGGGTACCCAAAGGTACCAAGCTTACTAACCACCAATGACCCAAGATTTGGGTACCTAAAGCTACTACACCATCATCTCTTGTAGGGAACATCACGAACACGACGTAGAGAGATGTGGTACCTTGATAGTGGTTGCTCACATCATATGACGGGAAACAAAGAGCTATTTGCAATCCTATCAAGGATTGAAGGAGGTAGTGTCTCCTTCGGTGGTAGAGAGAAAGGTAAAATCATTAGTATTGGTTGTATTGGTAAGGCAACCTCTCCCGTTATAGAAGATGTTTATTTGGTTAATGGTTTGAATCATAATCTTCTTAGCATTAGCCAATTGAGTGATAAAGGTTTTGATATTTGCTTTAAACCGGACAAATGCATTGTTAGCTCAAATGGAAAAACTATTTTTGTTGCTAATAAAAAAATCTAATGTATACATTTTTGAGATGAATGAACTAGTTGATCAAGATGTCAAGTGCCTTGCGACGGTTGATGAAAACCCTTGGATTTGGCATAAGAGGCTTGGACATGCAAACATGGAATTGATATCTAAATTGTCCAAGAGGAATCTTGTTAAAGGGTTACCAAACTTGTATTTTATCAAAGATACCATATGTGAAGATTATGCTAAAGGTAAACAAACTAAGTCTACATTTAAATCCATCAATGAGATATCAACTTCTAAACCCTTGCAATTATTTCATCTTGATTTATTTGGTCCTATGCGTGTTACCTCTCTTGGAGGCAAACAATATGTTTTTATTAT